TCCTTTTTTTCAAAGGGCTGGTGATCTTTTCACTTTCCCTAGTTTTGTTCTAAAAACATAAATTGACAGAAATAGCAAGCACAGACAGCTTTCAATTGGTGAAAGATGAATATTTAGCCTCGTTCCTTAGAACCAGTACATTTGACTTCGAAACTCAATATAAGGAACTTTTAAAAATGAAATCGCGATTTCATTCATCTCATTAACATATTTAAATTGTAATACTTGTATATTGTTTCTAAAATTTTAGAAAAATTTATCTTGGCCCGCCAAACTTTTTGTTTTCGATTTCTGGCCCGTGACCGAAAACGTTTGCCCATCCCTGCTCTATATATTACAACTCTGCAAGATTCGCAGAATAAGGTGCTACCAAAAATTCCCTGTTAAATATTTCTTGTTTTAGGTTAGGTGATACAATACATTTTGCTAATATTGCACGGGCCACATAAAGGCCCAAGGACTATTAATTATATTAATATATGGAACATAATTTATTTTATTTTTCTAAATTTTGGATGCCAAACAAATAAAACACAATTTAATTAATGAGCATTATGAAAGCTTTTATAAAAAGGTGGCGAAGGAAAACTGAAAAATAGAATTCAGGTACACTCATATGAAATATATCTGGTACTTTCTGATTATCCGCATGGAATTGCACGGCGTAGGAGGTCAGAAAGAACGGTATAAACCTAATAACCTTTAATGATACAACGAAAGGTTTTTATCAAACAAGAACGTGACGCATGTTATTAAAATTGATATTCTTCAAAGGATCGGCATCTTGATGTCACGCAGTCAATGCTTTTCTGATGTGATCCGCATGGGACTATATTTCTATTTTATGAAACTTAACGGTATTGCCCCTTTACTTCCCCCCCCCAACACACATGGGAATTTATGCGTCACAGAATCTTATAAGTCATGCAATCTGCGGCGTTACTTCACGGAGCTTATCACGGATAATTCAGGCCAAATATGCACAAAATCTAACATATTGTAACATATTTGCGTTGCTACGCTACCAACATAATTCTACTAAAAATGTAAATCTACTCGCATCGTCGACCTCAATGTGATAAACTTAAGAAAAATTCAGAAACTGTAGTATCCAATGAAACTGTACCCTCAAATGAATTTCCCAAAAATAGCTTTAAGGATATTATGGCTCCATATACCAGCCTAGGTTGCCAAAAGTATGTACTGCCTTTCATATATACGGGTGAGACCGTGTGGATACGAACACCTCTGGAAGAACATCCAGTGTGCTTACCTTTGGTTGAGGTTGAGCTTGAATGTTATCTTGGTCATATAATAACAAAGGCTGCAGTCTTAAGAGATTCATTAGATCAAGGAAGGTATCTTCTAGATTACAAAACCGCTGCATTATTTGAAGAAGCAAAACTAGATGAAATTCATATGATAAACGCCGTACAAACTCGTGCTCAAGAGCAGCGACTAAAAGAAACGGACAATCTGGTCTCAACAGACAAGTTAAATTCAGAAATTGAACTTACCGACAAAGACGGATTGACTGAAAATGAAAATTTGCCTCCTGTGAAATATGAACGTTCAGAATTATATCTGATAAAGACCTCTCCAGAAATATTTATACAAGAACATAAGGAGAGCGTCGAATTGAAGCCGATTTATAAAGAAGCTAAAATGAAATCTTCTAAAAGTATGAGGTAAATGTTGAAAGGCCAGATGCTCTTTTTCAATAAAGAAGATCTTGATGGAACACAAAGAATATTGATTGTTGTTCCTGAAAATATTGGAAACAGTTGATGACTATTTGTCATGAAGAAACAGCAGCTCATCTTGATGCAACAAAGACCAAAGATGCATTATTCAAAAATTTTTATTGGCGAAATTGTTACAAAGATTTCGAGAATTTTGTTAAAACTTGTGACAAATGTCAAAGAATTGGAAAGCCGCAAGATAAAAAGAAAGCACCTTTGAAAATTGTCCCTGTTATCACAGAAATATTTTCAAAAATAAATGTTGACGCTTGTGGGCCTCTGTCCGTGACACCTTCAGAAAATAAGTATTTTATAACTGCAATCTGCATATCTTCAAAATATTCAGACGTAGTTCCTGCCGCAAATCTTTCTTCAACCACGATTGTTGATGTTTTCCTTCAAATTTTTAGTCGAATGGGATTTCCAAAGGAGGTCCAAACAGACCAAACTACATCTTTTACGAGTGCGCTGACATGGAAGTTCCTAGAGAAATTCGGAATTAAAGTTGTACGAAGTTCTATTTACCACCCCACAAAGCAATCCTGTAGAGATGATACATAAAGCTTTAAAAAGAATTATTCGAGTCCTACGTCTAGAATCTGGTCCGGACTGGGATAAAATCTTATCTCAGACTTTATTTGCTCTTCGAACGACTATTCACGACCGTACCGGTTTCTCGCCCGCAGAATTAGTTCATGGCAGAAACTTCAAATGTGCTTTCTTTTTATCTTGGGGCTTTCCAATTATGCTATTGTACGAAAAATTATCTGATAAAGAAGAGGAAGAAAATACAGTAGTGGACTATATTTTTGAAATAATGAATTGAATGAGGAAGTGTCAAGAACTCGCTGCCAACATATAGAGAAAGCCAAAGAAAGGCAAAAACTTTTGTATGATCGCAAAGCTGTAGAACGTAAATTTCAGAAGGAGACTCAGTTCTATTTGTAGCTCCATCGAAGCCGAACAAACTGTCAGTTAAATGGGTAGATCCTGGAAAAATAGTTCAGCAATTATCAGAGATAAATTATGCAGTCGAGTTTCCCGAGAAAAATAAAACTCAGATGTACCACATTAATGTGCTGAAACCATATTTTCAACGAGCAGAAAATATAAACTTGCTTTTTTTAGAAGACAGGATAAACGGCTAGAATGAAGATGAAATACCGAGTCTAAATTATAGCCAGATAATGAAACGTCTGAAGTTTTAGAAACTTTAGTCTTTAGTTTTAGAAGTTTAGAAGAAACGTATGAAGAAAGGCATCCAGTTGAATTCACTATTATCTGAAGACCAACGAAAAGATTTAAAGCGGTTGATACACAAGTATTCCTGTATTATCTCTAATGAACCAGGATGTACTGACCTTACCGAACATGATATAGGATTAGAAGCAGAAAGACCAATATGCGCAAAACCTTATCGGATGTCTGCCAGACAAACCGAGATTTTAAAAACGGAAGTAGAAAAGGTGATAACTCAAAGTAATAGAACCACGTGAATCAGATTTTACCTCTCCACTAATACTGGTTGAAGTTCCTGGAAAAGAGGCAAGACCATGCATTGATTACCGTCGCTTGAACAAGGCAACTAGGATACAATATTTTCCCTTGCCAAACATTGAACATTTAAAAAGGAAAAGTGTCATCTGCCAGATATATAGCTGTTCTAGATCTTAATCGAGGTTACTGGTAGATCCCACTAACTAAACGAGACCAGCGTTACACTGCTTTTGTGACAAGTTTTGGAACATTTAAATCCTTAAGGTTACCTTTCGGGCTAAAAAAATGCACCATATGATTTTAGTCGCTTGATGGCAGGATTATTAAGAAACTATGAAGAATTTGCTGCATCCTATATTGACGATGTTGAGGTATTCTCGCAAACCTGGGAAGAACATTTGAAGCACTTCGAAATTATTTTGGAGAAGATGAAAAATTGCTAAACTGCATATTAAGCCTTCGAAATGTCAGTTTGCTCATACCACCGTCAAATATCTAGGGCATGCAGTAGGACAAAATCAAAGAAGACCAGCAGAAATAAAAATCCATAAAAATCATTTTTGGTAATCCCACCGATGATTCTAATCCAGTCAAAACAGCAGGCATAATGGAGCACTCTTAGTTATTTTCATTTTTGTCAAATAATTAGCATACAGTACTTACTGTTTTCCTAACGCTCTTATGTTTATCTTTTTGTTTTACGTTTTGTCCCTAGCTATAACATTAAGTGATGACAAAAAATATCTTTCTAATCAGCAATAAAATTTAAGTACTACGTATATTTAGTATAAATATTTATTTAGTATTTAGTATAAATATACGTAGAATTACATAAATATTTATTTTCACAGCATTTTAACTATAAAAAATGTCGTTACTTGTCTGTACGCGTTGTGTCAGGCGTAGTCGATTGCCTGTACACATTATACAAAAGTGCATTTATGAACTGCGTCTTTAAGTTTCTGTAAATTATTTGACCGATGTTATATACCTAATCTTAATACTCGCAGACCTTCCTTATATCAGCATTTATAGGTCAGCAATTTCGCCTTTACATTCTTCAGAAAATTTATGACATGATGTACTTTGGGTACTTTGGTTTGTTTCAGAAAGCTTCTGTCTGAAGACGAGAGACCTATATCTGATCGCTCTGGAAATCAATAAAGTGATTAAAAATCAGCACCAAAACTAAACGAAAGGTTGCTTTTTAGCCTAACATTAAATCATCGACTAGAATAAAAAAAACCAAGCAGTTTTTTAACTTAACCTTATATTTGGTAACAATTTAGTCATTTGAGAATTTTTAAAATTTATTTTCACCTATTTGGGTACTTCACTTTGAAAAATTCATTCTATAACATTTTGATCGCGATACAATAAGGGATGTGTTTTCAATGTCTTCGTAAAAAAAAAAAAAAAATGGGATGGGTTTCGACAATTTGATAACATTATTCAAATCATAACATTAACCGGGATCACATTAGGTGGCGCTTGCTGTAATCGTGTTTTAAAATAAGGTCAACTGATTGACCGCTAACAGATTCTAACATATGGCTGCTCTTGCTCATAATACATAAATATTTTTCTGTGTGTAAAATAACTATCAGATATCCTGATTTATGAAAATAAAGTTATCACAAATGAAATTAATCCCATATCAATTACATTATAATTAAAATGTTTTGTACAGCATAATAATAATTAAATATTAATTTTTAAACTCAACAGAGTTCTATATAATAACTGAATATTTCTTTCCAGATTCTAACAGTGGCTGTCCTTGCTATTTTAATCACTGCACCACTGGGAGCAACTGCAATAAGTTTACTTGCACCAAGACTTTTAGAAAATAATGCATCTGACATTACAAATTCTAAATCAAAACCAACAGTAAGGAAAAGCATAGTCAACATCTTCAACAGTAATCATTGCTCATGCAACAGTTTCAACCAAAAGGAAGATAGTAAATCAGACAGAAGTGGTATAGAAAGCAGCAATAACATATATACAATAGCTAGGCTTTGACAGAAAATAAAAATATTAATTCTAGATTGTAATACAAATGAACTGCACAGTTCTGCTGTTTCTTTATATTTCATGTAAAGCCATTAAATCCACCTGATAGTTCCAAGATCACAAAGCATATAATTTATTTCAATGTAATTAGTATCAAAACAAATACCTTTTAAATCTAAGCATTAACAGTACAAATTGTACTATACACTGATTGTGCAAGCTGCACAAATCCCTTTAAAGAAATATAAGACTTTAAAACTGATGCTAGTACATTCAACAAACTGAAATTATAGATAAAATATAACTATTACTCACTGGTTATTTTGCATAACTTTACAGAATATGACACCTTTGGTTATTAACAAATATTGTACAATTTTCACATTTATTGTAGTGAGTGTTAAAAGATATCATAACATTTTTTTACTCAACAGTAAAATTTGTAATGAACTGTTAAGCTGAATTATTTTAAATGGCCAGAAGCAATATTTATTGTCTGGCAACATACATATGCTGTTTGCATTTTGTGTAGAAGCATGTTATTTTACTGAAATCCATTGTGAAAGTGGATGCAATATATGTTGAATCCTCTTTTTACAACATTTTTTTTTTTTTTTTTTTTTTTCTAAACTGATAGTAATACTTAAAAAATTTAATCCCACTTTTACAATTTTAAACCCTTAACAAAATTATTAACAATGAATTTGATCTTGACATTGCAATAAGATAAAAATACTTTATTCTTTGAAATATTACATAATCACTTCGCAGTAGTGGAAAATAAATTTAGCTAGAATATTTTGCTAGAGCTTACTTAACATAATAGCAGAAATATAAAAGCTATGTTACTTATGCAAAACTATAACGACTGTATTCTTTTTACTACTTTCACAAATAACATTCATGGGCAGATTCTCATATGGAAAATCCTTTTTTATTATGAATCGTTATAATCTTCATTATGAGATACAGAACTTAAAAAATATAATAATAATTTATAATTTCTCATACCAACACACTTTGATCCCTGTCTCTAAGCTGCAAAAAATGGAGATGATACTGTATCTCAATTTCTGTATTTACATTACAAAGATGCTGCAAGACATCAAAAGGGCATTACTAATTAATAAATGGCACACTGCAATAACGATAAGTTCATAAAATTTGATATTTTATGAGCATACTTTTACAATTAATTTACTATGATAACATTATTTGCAAGTCAAAACTTTTAAACATTTTTCCTGTACGATGTATATATTTTAACTGGATGTATATGTCAATTTTTATGAAAGAGATATTTCTAATAAACTCTGCATTATTAATTTAATGTAAATTAAGCTTTTTATATAAGCACAGGAATTCATTTTGATCATTAGGTTAGGTTATTTATTAAGCACTCAAAAGCTGTTTGCCTCAGGAGGACTTTCTGAAAGGGATTGTCTTGTACTCATATAATATATGGGAAATCTACAAACTTGCATGCATTTCAGTCCATGCATTTCTAAGCAATAAATACAAGGAAAACTATAAATGTACCAGCCTCATCTATTCATACATATCTTGCCTTTTATTTTATATATTCATATATTTATTCAATTTATATTTGTACTCAATACAGATTACAAATTTAAAGAAAAGTATTATGCAATACTCTTAAGAAAATATTTAGAAGAAATTACTACCTTTGGTCTCTAATCAGTAATATACACCAAAATTAAAAACACCTTTCTCAAAAAAATCATCAAAATTCCTTCTTTAGCAGCAAAAAAATTTTAATCTGCATAAATACCTAAGATCTTTCAGTCTCATTAATGATTAAATATAGCTATTTAAATGAAAAGAATTTGAATCAGCTTTTTTTCTCAGCAATCATATATTTTGATGTATTATAAATAGAATAGCACTTTTACCATCGGGGAAAAAGATAAAAATTCAAGGCCAGTCATGCTGTAAATAATGAAATGTTAAAGCCTTTGATTTATGCTAACTATACAGAAAAGATTTTGTATTAACATTTTCAAAAGAAAAAGAGAGTTAAAATCACAATCTAAAAACTTGATTGCAGTCTAACATCTCAGAGGATTTGCTACAAAAGTTTCAAAATATTATTAAAAAATTTTTAATTTAAAAACATAAAAATTTTAAGTGTGAAAAGAAATCGTAATCTGATCTTTATATGCAGATTTTAATTTAGTGTCTGAAACAATTTTAAGCTAAAGAATTACAATATGCCAACTAGTTTAAGAATTAGTTTGCCAGAAGTTAAAAATATATAATATAGAATCTTGTATTTCAAATGAACTGTTCAAAATAGCGTACCTAAATAATGGAAGAACATTTGCTTATTTCATCAAAAATTAATGCCAAGTAGATATCTGTGCACTTATATAATATTTAAATAAAATTAATACATATTTTGTACTACTTCAGATCAAAACATTAATAAAAATTATAATCAGTGAGCAAGAATACTCCATTCAAGTACTTAAAAAAGCATTTTGTGAGTAATTATTAGGAACAGAAATTACTGACTACATAAAATCTAATCATCTCAATGCACTATTCACAATTTATGTGTCTTCAGCAAATGCTGTAGGAATGCAATAAATTTGGATAAACATAGCCAGATTTTCAGAGATACATTTTGCCTCATAAGATACAATTCTAATGCTCCATGAATCTATTTTTGATGCTATTAGTTAGCTCTTCACTAACAAATCTGTTCTCATTTTAATTCTTCACTCATACATAAAAATGCTACAAACTCATAAGAGTTGTGAAAAATAAAATCTAATTCGAACCATACTGAACAACCAAATTTACTCTCTCTCCAAATCAATTTAGTATTTTGCATTTTCATAAAAATATTAAAAACAATGACATTCATGTAAAACTTAGTATGAAAATTTTATTCATTCTATTATTATAAACAATTTATATTTTTATGCAAATCTTTCCGGGTTTTGACAATATAAATTTTCTTGTATAATTTAAGCAATAAGTACAGTCAGTACATGTGATAGTTTCTCATTTTTTTAACTACATTTTTAAATAACTCTTTTAGGAATTTGAAATAAAAGCTAAATTTCAATTCAAATATACAAAACAAGAACCATCTGTAACTTATGGATTTTTAATGAAAGAAAAATATATCAATTAAAATTTAAAACTAAATAAGAAAGCAACCTTGTTTTGGTACAAATTATACATAAAACTCTACCAATTTCAAACGCAATCAAATATAGGTCCTCCTTTCCAAGAGCATTTCTTACATTCCTTTCCAGGAGTATAGTGTATGGTAATCTATTAAGATTAATATTTTTTGCCTAATTCTAAACTTTTGGGGTACTTTTCATAATTGCCACAGTATAAAAAACTAGAAAGTCTGGCGGTCATACGAAATCACCACTGTTTTAGATATTATAAATTGATTATAAACAGATGATTGCTAATGCAAACAAATGTTCACATTCCCCCTGACACGCTTAATTTGCATTCAGCTGAAAATTCATTTTAATATACAATGTTGGAATAAAATCGGGCTAAATTTTAAACTCTTTATGCAAAAGGATATTTAACATAGGAGTTTGGGTAAACCTACCTGATGAGATGTACTACGCACAACTCGTTAGTTGGCTTCGTCTCCTTTAATTTCTCAACGTTTGCAAGTTTCTATGTAATTCATATGTAAATATAGTTAAATGCATAATAAGCAACAATTGTATGAATTAAAAATATTGAAATGTTCTTAAATACAATGATAATTTAATTAAAACAATGATAACTGCATGTATGGTATCAGTGTATATGGACTATTTGAATGCCATGGCAACTTCACCCCATTGGCTAGTACAGTTATGCAAGCAACCAATAAACTATCGGTGACAAACAGACACTTAAGCTGCATATAATAAAGATACGTGTTTTCATTTTTTAAACAATTAGTTTTTTTTTTAACTTTTATGAAATTAATTTAGCTACAGAAAACTGAATGCTAAGTTTTAATTATTGAATTTTAAGCAATTCATAGCACAGCAATTATATTATTTTTATGCAAATCATAGACCTAAAAATGCTATAAATACTTTTCAGGATAAAATTTGCTTTTATTAAATCTTTTAAAATATTTTTTAGATATTTGCATAAACAACTGAAATTGAATTAAACTCATATTTAATTTCATCGAAAGTGTAACATGAGAAAAGGTATAGTTTTATTTATTACAAGGAAGGAAAAAAAACTTGATCACAAATTTAGCATACAAATTAATGAACCCTTTTTACAATAAATACATAACAATACTTTTTACAATAAATACATAATGGCAAAGTAATTACCTCAAAACATACTAAGTGACAGATAATCTAACAGAAAATGGCTCACATTTGCATTATACATATGGAGATTGATAAAATATGCCAGATAGCCTGCCTATTGAATTGCTAGGAATAGAACTTAAGGTAACTAGTAGTATGTCATGACTTTAGCTATTCGGTCTCTTAATGACACACATTTTTAATTTTCACACATTTCTACAAAGGAGATAAATGCTTTTGTTCTTTTTCTAATTGCTCATGATGAAATCTAATCGTAGTTAAGAATATGCCAATTAAAATTCATTAAGTTCGTAGTAAATGGTCAAATAGCATTTTACGTAAGTATACCTTCCAGTATAAACTTCCTGCATTTAAGTACCAAATTTCTTTTTCGGAGAATAACTACCTAAAACAATACTTTTTAAATGAATTCACAATTAAATAATAAGGACACAAAAATATAAACTGATGGCACATAAAAAAATTAATTATACAAAAAATATAACAGTCTCACTTACCATTATCATACAAAAAGTAAATTTATAGTACAAGCCCATTTAACTGAAATGATGGTGAAAAAAACCAAATCATATGCCAAAAAAATTTTTGATCAAACAAAAACTCAACAAAACTTTTTGATATAAATTAAGTAACCTAAAACATTGCAGACTTGATTTAATTATATATATATACATGCACATAAATACTGTATTTTATCACATACTTCCCCCTTTCCTTTACTAATTTTATCCCCTAAACATCAAGAGGAGAAAATTATACAAATATTTGAATTTCTAAGGGACATGATTACAACAAGAATGTAACAAAAGAAAAATAGTTAACTCCAGGTGATTATTAGTGCATAGGGGCTTTGTCCCTGAAGGACTATTGTTTTCGTTTTGCGATTTTGTGCTGAAAATATTAAAAGGCTGTTTCACTTTTCAAATCGTTGCCACTAAATACTATCGTCCTGTATTATATTTGAAGAAATTAAATATAGAAGAATCTGCATAAATGTATGTATGTTTCTCGCATTGTGATAAAACAACGGTACCTAGAGCCATCCAATTTTGAATGATGTAATTCTACTGCAAATATGGGCACCTTAAAGCCCAAATTTGAAATTTCGAATTTGTTTTATTATCGATTTCTTATTTTGTAAAACTTTAACGAATTCTTGATTAACAAATTCAACGATTTAAAAGCGAGCAATGGAAACATGCAACCGGGGGAGGGAAACACTTTTTTATCTCCAGCACGCAGAACCGTGTGTCAAAAATTCTAAAGATATGCTCAGTTTAAAATTAATTTGGGACATTGCTGTTGAACTGAATTTTATAGTTTAATGCAAGATGTGCAGAACATGATATTTAATAAATAAACGTAACACACAAAACGTTTAAAAAATGCCCCTTTGGGCACAATTTAAAATTTGAAACCTTTCAGATATTTTTAGTTTTAGAATATTATTTCATTAAAAGAAATTAATAGTTCAACAAGAATGCATAGAAATATTAATATTATAATATTTAATAAGATATCTTCTTTTATACATCTTTTGTCAGAAAAGTTCCAGGGCAAAGGTCGTAAAAAATAGAAAATTATATTTACCATGTAATGATCCTAGTTGCTATCAAAGTACTCCCCTTCGCCATCTATACACAACTGCCAATGTTTCTGGAGGTCTTTAAAGCAAGCAGGGTGGTGTGTATGGTGTATTTAATTATGGCAAAGCACACTAGGGCTATTTGCCTAAGGGAAGGGATGCCTTCATAGAGGACTTTCTAAGGGAAACTGGCTCGTATACACGTTACACATGGGGAAAACCACGAAAACACCCATGCAGCCAGCCCGTTTGCAGGATTCGAACGTTGGACCAAACTACCAGTGTTCAGTGACTTTACCGCTCGGCCGCTGGTGGGCGAAAGCAAGCAGGGAAATCTTCAACTGTAACGTTACAGCCTGTTCGATGTCTGAAATAATCTTGATGAAGCTTTCTGTCAGTCAGCTTTTCACTCATGGAAACAAGAAAAAATCACAATAATCTTTGACACAGATGTGGGATCATGTCTAGCTCTATCCAATAACTCAGAAATTCTTCTTCTTTCCTCTTTCTGTTCATCTGTTAATGAGGGAGAGATGATTCTTGGTCTAAGTTTCCATTTCCCTAAATCTTTGCAAAATATCTTATAACACACATCACAATTCAAATTCAGTTCTTCTGATATCATACACACAGTTACACGACGGTCTTCTTGCAAAAACTATCTTGCAAGCTCCATGTTTGCACTGGTATGTGCTACAGACGAGTGACCAGCTCTGGGATCATCTTGTACTGAATCTCTGCCTTCACCAAACCTTTTGTGCCACTTAAAAATACGACTTCCTGCAACCTGGTAAGTGCGTGGAAATATGGCCAAGGTCTCATCAAGTAAGAATATATGCCAAATAACATCAAAATAATATTTGTTCCTTTTTTAGTACTGCAAATTCATAAATAAAAAAAATGTCCTGGAACTTTACTGACAAAGGATGCATTTCCACGTAATCTGAATCATGTCCATGCTTGTAGTAGTCTCTACTACTTCTGAGGCCTCAAATTATTTATAAATAAGTATAGAAGGTGAGTATACAGGTGCAATCATAGACTGATTATCAGACTGTGTTTGTTTCACTGTGATTGGTCGGTTCTTGTACTGGGCTGGTATGAAGTTCAATAATTAGAAAGTACAGAAAAGTTTGGCATTATCAATGCAGGGAGTATATGAGAGTTTGTCTTTGCTCATAAGTAGAAAATAATCACTAAATGGATGAACCTATTTTAAAATTCAGGGGAGCTTATTCTCTCAACACACTAAGGAAGGGAAAATTAAGTGAATATTTTTCAAACTTTCAAAACCTCGGGCAAAGAATTAAGAGAGAAAATATGCAATGAAATATAGTGTGTATATATATATATGTGTGTATATATATAATTTATTCTGTAATAGAATGCAGGTGGTTGAATCCGTTATGAACAGCGGGAATTTTGATGTCACAGTTTGTTGAAATGCTGATCTATAATGAATAAGAAATTTGGCAGTCGAGGTATATTTAATTCAATTTTTATTTCAGTAAACATGTTGCAGCCACAATCAAGTTGACACATTAATTGTGCCTATTCCAAAAAACATACATTCTAGATAAATTTGCAATAAGAAAGAAGGAGCAGACAGACTGCAGTCAAGCTAGGCGAAAGCATAGAAAGCGTGTTACATTCAGGATGAAATCTTAATTTAGACTGTTAGTTTTCGTTCTCAATGCATTTTGATTGGATAGTTAATATTGATTGCTGTAAAATTACTATTGGCTGTTTGAGTTCCATTTACATTATCAGAATTACATAAGAATCATATGACATAGATTAGAAATGACACAGTGCAAATAGAGGTTACTATTTTTAGAACACAGAAAGGAATTTAAGCTGCTAATTTAATCTTTCACATATTCTTTATTTTTCTTACATATATATATACATACACACATGCACACTTTATTTCCTTCCATATTCTTAGCACCATATTTCCTTGCATGCACATATATATAAAATATATATACACACACAGTGTCCATAAAGGTTAAACCTCCTTTTGCAACTGCTGGTCATAGATGTATACTTACAGCTATAAAAATATTTTAAATGATGCAAATATTCATATTTTGGTATTTTTAAATTTAAAAAAAAGTAAATTGTATAAAAATTACCAAATTTAACTTTTAATGCATTTCCTCTACTGCCTATGCTTATATTCAGGAAATTTTTATACTCATTACAAAAAGTAAAACAAAACAGTACAACTCCTGTACAACAAAAATTGACTGAGATATTTAATCTCAAACTTTTATTTTCAAGTATTAGATATTTGACACTATCTTCTACTTCCCTTGAATAGTCCCTTATAAAATAAAATAATTCAAGATTAATTTTTTTCTCTTAAAATGCCATTCAATGATATTCTTTTGATATTCATATGCATGTAACATTCTTTAATTCACAATTTTGTTACAATTGTTATTATGAAAGAAATATTCACACAAATAATTTATATGTTTTTAATGCTAAAAATGCATTATTAATATTCTCATGAAGTTTTATTATTTTAGAATCATGATCTAATAATCCTGCACTTCTAATAATCCTTGCAGATTGCTTCATTAAACCAGAAATACTACTTTTCATTTTTAATTCATGCAAACAATGTGAGAAGTTGGCTATGCACCACTACTGATTTTCTAAAACATGAATTCTATAAAACTCTTCATATAAGACATCCTTTGTGAGAAAAAGTTATATTCATTAATACTTTTAATAATAATCTGCATAGAGAGGCTCATTATTTCATCTCTAATGTCAGAAGCTTGTTTCCTAAACTGACACTTATAAACCATAAACTGATAAATATTTTCAATTATGTACAAATTAAAACATTTCACTCTTAGTCTGTGTATGGCCCTTGAATATAATTTCCAACTTTAAAAAAAAAAAATTATTTTAGTCAACTTTTTTCACACAAGAATCACATTTTTGTTATTTTATTTTTTAGGATAAGTACAAAATGTTACTAAATATAAGTACAGGGACTGTAAAAGCATATAAAAAGTTAGATTTGGCAATTTTTACCAAATTAAGCTCAAAATGCCAAAAATGAATATTTGCATCATTTCAAATACTTTTGTACCTGGAAGTATATGGAACAATGGTTGTGGAAATAAAGGCTGAATATATAGAGAGATCCCTAAAAGTTCATATCCAATCTTTGTTGTTATAATTGCATTACATACCATGTAAAGTATGGAATGAAAAATTCATAAGTTAACAGGACTGAAAATACTCTAGAAGAGAATTTTTGAAACTGTATACTCTCACCATTATTTATGTAATATTATGAACACATCTTTTCTTTTCTCTCTCTCTTTTTATTTTATAAATTTATAAGAAATACTTCTGTAAATTCCTGCATTTAAACTTATGTTATTTATTTCCCTCATGCATTTTTCCTGCTTAATCAGCAAGACATCAGTTTAATATTTGAAAATAAAAATTTTTAAAGGAACTTATCCCTTTCCCAATTACAAATACGGATTACTTCCTTCACATAATTTAAATGAAAATAAATATTTTAAAAGGAATATTTGTCACCCATTTCCTAATTACATAGACATATTACTTATTTCATATAATTTAAATGAAAATAAAAATTTTCAAAGGAATTTTTTTTAAGACTATTTGTATTTCTGCCCTTCTCCCCTCCCCCCCCCAAAAAAAACCTTTTTTATGCAAGCGAGACTGACTCAGGGTTATTCAAAAAGTAGTAATATCCAAAATATCTCTACCCCAATCAGTTCAGATAAATGGGATTCTGCTAAATATTCATGGGGGGAAAATTGAAATTAACAACATGAATTTAACACCTAATATCTATCTAACAACAAATACCATTTAAGAATGAAAAAAAACTACCATTGATATTTTAGAATGCTTTAGGTTCCATAGCCAGATAAAGGAATTAGGGATATTTTTATCAATTTATCCAAGCAAATATAACCAAAAAACGTAAATGTCCTCATCTTTTTCTTTTTTCTTTTGAGTAAATAATATTCAGAATGGTACAATACAGATTTTTATCAACTCATCCAAGCAAATGTAACTATGAAAAATAGTAACTGTCTTAGTTAGCTGAACAAACAGCATTCAGAATGGCACAATACGCAAGAAAACATAAAAATTTAAACAGCTTGTGTATGTTTTATAAATCAGTTCATTACTAACATCATTTAAAAGTTAAAAACACTACTTCAATACCATACATTCAAAAATTGTTCTTTAAACAGCTGAAACTTCATTTAATTTCTTTAAATTAAACATTACATAGAAGTTTTATTTAATATAAATTATGTACTAACCATATATATGAAATTAAAATTTTAATAGTACATAAAAATATAAAAAAATGAAATAATTTAACAATATGTATTCTGCTATAAAATTGACATAATTACAAAAACTGTGGCACTTAATAAAGATAAATAAACAAATAAATAAAAATTTCAACAACAATCACAGTTAACAAACAATAAGCTTTTCCATAAATTATCCCTTCCCCTTAAATTTTAGTAATATCACTAAATAACATTACATGCATAAATAACAATTCCCCCCCTTTTTTTTTTTTTTTTTTTTTTTTTTATTTATTTTTTCAAATTCTTTACTAGCAAATTTTGATACTACTTCCTGATTTTATCTTTTAGGTCCCATAGCAAAAAATAAATTGAAATTGTGGCTGAAGGTTTTATAATAGTTTATTTCATGCAGAAAAGAGATAAAAATGTATTCATTGAAATACAGACAATTTCAAATATAGTAGAATATATTACCTTACATTGCACAAATTTAGCTATTAAAATTTAAATTACAAAAAATATATCAGCCATAGACGTAGTCATATTTTTAAAGTTCATTAATCACATGGGGTCAGTGCTTGGGCTGGACAATGTGGTTATCTAGCTTCTTCATAGTTAATAATTTATTCTGAATAAAGATCATACCAAATGGTATAATAACTAAAGAAAAGTATATTAATTTTATTTATAAAATTATCTATATATATATATATTTATATAGAATTATATATAAGTTTGCATAAAATACTTAAAATCAACTTTTGTATTTTATTAAATGCCAAAGCTCGTTTCTGCACTATGCTGCAACGTTTTAAAACTTCAGTAATATAAAGATATTAGAAAATAAACATTAAATTATTATTGAACATAATTTCAGACATTTTATTTCAAAAATTATAATTATATAGAGCAAATGCATTAAAAATATAAAAACAGAAAGATAACAGAAGCTATTTTTATTATTTAAAATCACCTTTAGTAATCATTTTCTGCTTATACTAAATACTAAAATCAACTGCTTAAGCTGCAGTTTTTTATTTATTTATTAAATTTTATATTATGCTAAAATAGCAATCTCTTTGAATAAAAATATTTAAAAAAAGAAAGAACAGACAATAAATTAATAAAAAAAGTTTAAAGCACAAATGAACTCAAATTATATTACATAATTTATCTTCATCTAATTCCCTTAACATCCAGTTTATTCACTCTGCTTAGCGCTAATTCACAAAACGGATAACATGGTCATAGCTAAAAATATAAAAGAAGAAATATTAAATCAAAACAAGATATTTGTATGCAAACTCGAATACACATTTAATAAATGTATACAAATGTAAGAAAAAATTAATGGTACCAACACTCTGCAAATAAATGCAATAATTCAATAATACAAATAAATATTATTAAATTTTCAACAAATATTCCATAAAGATTTTAAAACTCAAATTAACACTCACTCAATATAGCAAATCCTTGCCAAATGTGGACTTGAGGAACATTATTATAGGCATTATATCATAATTGTCTCCATTTAATTTGTTCAATACAAAAAAAGCCAATTATATGTGGTACCCTGAAAGCTTTGGTAGCTTTATGACAGTCCTCTTTAATGACCGGTTTAAAAATTCTTTCATTTAAGAAGAGAAACATTGCTTAGAATAACAAAACTTGAGCTTTAAAGTTTTAGTTCTCAATAATGCTCCAGGACATGGTACTAAAGCCCTCACAATATAGCATCTAAATATAGAGGTTTTATTTCTTCCATCGAGCATCACTTCCTTAACGAATGGATCAAAAAAATCATAAAAACATTTATAAGTACTTAGTTACATCTCTGCAAACTACATAGAAATAATTAAACTTGCATGGAAACCAATAAATTCATCAACAATATATGCTTACTGACATCAACTCTGGCCAGAAGCTGTCAACAATTTTAAAGGATGTCCATCGATTGAAAATGAGGTGAAGAAAATCATATGAATTGAAAATGCAATAAGGCAGCAAAGTATTTTCAGGCATGCAAGAAGACACATCAAAGAATTCGTCAAGAATGATGACTGTGAAATGACAAATGAATAATTGGATGATCTCTTAACACCAGGTAATAGTGAAAGCAGCAACAGTGAAGAAGATAAAAAGCTTTTAATGTATAAGAAGTTAAAAGAATTGTTTAAAAAGGCACAGGAACTGTCTGATTTTGTAGTGGAGATTGACCTGAATGAAGAAAGAAGATACTTTAATATAGGTACAGAAAAACTTTGCCCGCATTAAATCAAAGCATTTGATAAGATGTATCAGACATAGTCCCAAGCAAAAATCACCAGATATTTAAAAATAATAATTGTATCATGTACTTACTTTTAAAACATAAACCCTTTCAATTAAAATTTGCTTCATTTCCCTCTTTTAAATAATATAAAATTTACAATTGCATAAATTATACACACTTTCTTGATTTATACCTAACCTGTATTTTCCCATAGAAAGTTAACGCTGAGGAATGTGATTTTGTCACATGTGCAATGTTTTAATGATATCACCCTTGTGGTTAACAAGGTTTACTGCATGAAAGCCTATAACTCAGTTACCAATAAGAATATTTAATTTTCATTAATTTTCATTAAATAATATAGATTTTCATTAAATAATTTTCCTTGAATAATTTCATTAAATATGATTCCATAAAACAATATTGAGATCTTTGTACAGGATTATATTCTTTTTAATATATTTAATTCTACTGAAGAATAATTGTTTATGTCCAGCTTTCCTATTGTGTGACTATAATAATGCTTAAATGAATAAATAAATATATTAATAAAACTGGCAAAAATTAACAGCAAATGAAAAAAGAATAATGGGACTAAACTGAACTATTTTTTAATTTTTCATTTAGGTTCACATCTTAAATTTATAATATCCTTATTAATCTTTATGTGAACATTTAAATTGTCAGTACAGGATAAAAATGTGTTTTATAGGAGAAATATTTACAAAACAACAGCACATGCTGCCATTATATATAACAGAAATAATTTTTAAAAAATTCTGTGACTCTCTTTTACAGATTGATGATTTCCATACGTTTCCAGATTTGTATTATAACTTTCAACTTTCTTTTAGGTGGTTATAGTATAAAGGCAGAGGAGCTTTTTTCCCCTTCTACCTGAGGAAAATATATATATATATATATATATGGGAAAAAATGAATATAAGATCCATTATAAAAACATTTAAACTTATTCTTTCTCACAGAAATTAGTGAAGTACAAGAGAGATGACTTCAGACGGGCAAGTGCCATGCTTCTATATGCGCATGTGTAAATGTTTTGTTTCCTGCCACTTGTAGCCAATCTGTGAAAGAGGTAATGTAGTGAATGCTTGCTAGATTTTAGTTGCCATTAAACAGGAGATCGATTAGAACGAAGATACTGAATTCTTCGAAAAGATTGAAAGAGTTAGCAAGCTTATGGTGGTACTGCCAACAATAACTAATGAGTTATACAAGCACTCTGAAGATGTCAGTGGGAAGTGAACCATGTTTTAATATGATCTTAAGAATACAAAATCATTAGCTAGTTGATATGTACATATTTTGATTATGTAGACACATCATGTCATCATCCAGGTACTAGCATATAAAATGGAAATAAACATACTTGGTTCAACATACTACATACTAAGAGCGGATTTGGCCAAATAGAGAATGTTAATAAAATTCATATTGATACTGCTAATAATGGAGAAGGAAATACTGATTTGCAGCATATCATACTGTTAGCAACATATCTCAACTTCCTGAACATTATGATAATTGGTGACAAGTCATGGTTTCATAATTATGATCTGAAAATCTACGTGAAATCATTGCTGAAACACTCGTCATCCTCAAGATTAACCATTTGAGTCCCAGGTGGCATTGAAAAAACACTATCAAAGAATCCCAAACAGTGAAACCGTGCTTACTCTAAATGTGTATGAAAAGACCCAAGCAGACCTTGTCGTATTTTATGTTGAAAAATACAAGGCGGCGAGATAGTGCTTTGTTTATTTTATATCGATGTGCACCTGATTTAAATCAAGTGCCCATATTATCAACATCAACGGCATCATCAGTTGTCCACAATGTTCGAAATGTACTGGGTTTTCTCGACATAAAATCTCAACAGCGCGATCATGCTGCTTGGGACTCAAACAGTTAAAAAAGCATTATACATACACAGCAAAATCAAAGTGAGAGTCATCTTTGATTCCCATGGGAAAATGCATCTCAAGCACAAAACATACAAGAAAGGTATTGTCTTGAGGTCCTGTGTCATATTTTAATGCTACATCATACATACAATTAGACCTGTGAACAGCAAAACTTTACAGCAGCATCATGATAACACATCCACCCATTCTTCACATGTAAAGAAAGTAATCCATTATCCTTCACAAATTAATTGAATTTAAATTTTACATTAAGAACCCTTCTATTGCTTTTAAATCATTAAATCAAAAATACCTAAATACTAATAATCATAAAAAGGATTTCTAAAATGTTTAAAACTTAGAACAGTTTGAACTATTTGGATTGGAAAATGCCATCAGATGTTTGCTTATTGTTATGAATTAAAAACATGATTTTAATTATGTAGCAAACATATTTATGAATTTTAAAATACATTCCTATAAAACAAAATTTTCAAAAAAAAAAGTAATAGAAATATGAAATCCCAATAAAAATGCATGTTAAATTTATTCTTCAATAACAGAAATCTATTTAAAATGGAAATTTTAGTCTATATCAAGAAACTAATTTATGGATGAATCAAATTCTTTACTTAAGTGAGTTTTCCAATAATTTTGCAAAGGTATAAGATTTGCATATTTTTAATGTGATACATTTTTAATATTTTGTACATAAAAAACTTCATTCTTTTATTTCATAAGAATATTGTGGAATATTTTAGTCTTCTAAATACTGTTTTTATATTTCATTTAATGCAATATAAGATTACAATTAAAAAGCTATTTTCCCCATTAAGTAAATAAAGAACATATTCAAATATTTACCTCTAATACTCCATTTTAGCATGACAGTAATTTCAGGAAGTAAGCATTTCAAACTTAAGCAAATACTTTTAAAAATAATTTTTCTTTGAATTACAAATGGACGTAAAAAGCAATTAATAGTTTTAAAAGTAATATTTGTATACAGTCATTAAACCACTTTTCCTCAAAGTTGCTGATTTTGAGGATGGATAGTGAACTCTGAATTGGCACATCACGTCTGACATTTTTGTCTGTATTTAAAATAGTATTCTTAGCAGCTATGAATCAGTTAAGTTTACTGTCACACAAACATAAAAATAATAGATAGCAACATCCAATGGTGATTAATGTCCAGAATGTAAATCATCCACTGTGTATTAAAAGAACTGTCATGCAATAAGATTACACGAAATAGGCATAAAAAGTCTGTTTCATTTCTAATCTAGCAGATAAATTTAATATAATTACATCATAATTTAATTAAGGCATGCTATTCTAAGGTTAATTTCAGAACTGAAGACCATAATGATAATAAACCATTCTATTTTAACTATAATTCAGAATAAGACTAAAGATACTCAGTTATAGAACCTGATTAATTGCATTCAAATGAATAAATCTAGATTTTACTTTTAACATTGAACACCTAATATTAATTATTTAATGAGAACAACAACAATAATTACTTTTGTAGCATTATTTTCTTCAATGAGCAAATTCTCTGTAACTTTTTTCCCCTTTGTAAGTAAAATAGGACCAAGAATAGATATAAGAGCTGCTCCAATTGGTGCAGTCAGTATAATAGAAAGCACAGCTACTGTCAGAATCTAATGTAAAGGACACATTACAATGTTAATGCCATATGGAATTTTAAAAATTACAACTAAAATATCATATATCAACAGCTCGAAAAATAATTCGATACAAATATATTTTAAATAATTTTATAACAGTTTAACCCATTTTAAGAACAATGAATAACCCTTCCTACCCAATAAATGAGTGATGATAATTATTTAATGTCATTCTACAGAAATAAGGACAATCAAAATAATTTAAAAGAAAAAAAAGATTTAAAAAAAAAAGCTAATGTCATTCTACAGAACTAATGAAAATAATTTTTAAAAAAAGAAGAAGACTTAAAAAAAAGCTTAAAAAAATCCTTAAAAAACACCAAAGGGGCTTTTTTTAACATTTTGTAGGTTACCTTTATTTATTAAATGTTGTATCATAAATTATAATATGACGTTTAGCTTAAGAGCGCTTCTCCTGACGCATGCACTATTCGCGTTTATCCGCACGGTGATGACGTAATTGCTTATTACGTATGTATGTTTATATGTATACCTTTCTTACTTTTTTGCCTTTTCTCTGCTGTACGCAACTATGTTTAAGTTAATCTCTGTCATTAAAAATGTTCATTGATGTTACAATCTGTTTAGGCCCATTTATTTCTTCAATGGTTATGGGCCCAGGAACGTTTTAACTGTGCCTAATTAGCAAAATACTTATTTTAAAATGAACATTTTGAAGTTTTCGAGCATTGAACTCTTAAGCCTAATTCAAGAACTGTTACATCTAATCAACGGTAAGAACTGATCAGCGTTCAGTTAAGCCTATTTTTATATCGCTCAATCTTGGTTTTTGGCTGTGAGAGACTGTACTACATTATGTCGCATTTGACTACTATAGAAAAGCTTGGAAAAGATAATTTTGACAGTTGGAAATTACAAATAGAAGCAGTATTGATTAAAAACGAACATTGGGATTATGTAACCGGTAAAGAGCTAAAACCTGCTGAAGGAACCGAAGATGAAAAGAAATGGCTCCAAGCTGATCAAAAAGCTCGCGCAGATATAATTCTTGCTATTAATCCTAGTGAACTGTGTCATATAAAGCATTGTGTGACATCAAATGCTGTGTGGAATAAACTCAAATCTGTATATGAATCGAAAGGACCTGAGAAGAAGGCTACCTTGTTAAAACAGCTATTATTTAGAAAAATGGCGGAAAGCGAAACAATGTCTGAACATTTGAATAATTTCTTCGAAATAGTTGATAAGCTTAAACAAATGGATACTGACATAGCTGATGATTTATTATTGATTCTTCTGCTCTACAGTACACCAGAAAAATTTGAAAATTTTAGATGCGCCTTCGAATCAAGAGATCAATTACCTAGTCCCGAATCTTTGAAAATCAAAATGTTAGAAGAATGGGAAGCAAGACCAGGGAAAATGTCTCAAGATTCACAGAATGCATACAATACTGAAAATAAAAGACAAAATCAAGAACAGAAGAAAAATGAAAAATGGAAGGTAAATTCAAATAAAAATTTTCCTGCTGAAAGAAATTTTCGAAACTTGAAGTGTAATTACTGTTCGAAAATTTGGCACAAGTCATCTGAATGCAGAAAGAAAATAACTGACAGAAAATATGCGCAATTAAATAAGAGAAATCAAGGTTCTCTGATGGTTTCTAATTATGAAGAACAGATTAGTTTAGCAGTAAACAATGCTTATCAGAAGACCTCCTCATGGTGCTTAGATAGTCGTTGTACATCTCACATGTGCAATGACAGAAAGTTATTTTCAGAATTTCACCCTCGAACGAATTCAACCATAAAGTTAGCAGTTGACAAAACAGCAAAAACTACAGGAATTGGAACTGTCCTTATAACAGTACCTAACGGAAATAAGAGAATTAAACTTACACTCAAAAATGCATTATGTGTTCCGAAATTAAAATTTAATTTGCTGTCAACATCTAAAGCTACTGCAGATAATCGTTCAGTGATTTTTACAGAATGACATGTTAGAATAATAGAACCAAATGGATCTATACTAGTGCAGACTATTCATCATGGTGATCTTTATTATATACATCCAAGCACTGAAACAGCTGCAATAGCACAGGTAAGTAATTTTTTCAAGTGACATCTTAAATTAGGTCATTTAAATGAGTCTGATTTGAAAAGACTTAAGTCTGATAGTATGGTTAGAAATTTAAATTTTAATAACACTGAATCTCTAAAAGACTGCAAAGTCTGTATCCGAGTTAAACAAACTGTGCAACCTTTTCAAAAAGAATCAAAATTTCAAAGTGATGAATTACTGAACTTGATTCACTTAGATTTGTGTGGACCTATGAGAGTCCCATCCCATGCTGGTTTACATTATTTTGTTATTTTCATAGACGACAAATCGCGTTATGTCGAAGTCAGTTTTCTTAAAACTAAAGATGAAGTGAAAAATGCATTCATTAAATACAAAGCTGTGGTCAAAAATCATCTAGGAAAGAAAATAAATATCCTTCGTACTGATAACGGTCTCGAATATCACGGAGAAGAATTTAATAAATATATTCAAGAATGCGGGATTAAACGAGAATTCTCTGAACCAATGACTCCTCAACAGAATTTGAGAGCTGAACGCATGAACTGCACTTTAACTGAAATGGCCAGATGTTTGTTACTACAAAGTAATCTTCCCCAATCCTTTTGGGCTGAAGCCTTGAACTGTGCTGTTTATATTCGTAATCGTTGCCCGAATCGAAGCCTGGGAGTAAACCAAACACCTTATGAGTTATTTTTTGGCATCAAGCCAACTGCATCTCACTTCAAAGTATTCGGACAGAAATGTTTTGTACTTAATAAAAGGTCTAAAGGGAAATTCGATACTCGAGCAGAAGAAAATATATTTGTAGGATACTCAAATGAATCGAAAGCATACAGGCTGTGGAATAAAAATTTCAGAAAAATCGTTATAAGCCGAGATGTTAGATTCTTTGATGAATTCAAAAACTGAACTAATTATAATAAAGATTTGAAAGTTTTACTTCTCGAAAATATTCCTGATAGAAATAAGGAAGAACCTCTGAATGTAAAGCAAATATTGGCTGATGAAATAACAGAAGACCCCTCAAATATGGCAGAAGCATCTGCTAAATCATCTGATAATGAAGATTCTGATTCCAAAGCAATATCTGAAATGCAGATTAAAAGGGGGCCAGGTCATCCAAAGAAAGTCAAGACTGGGAAGCCAGGAAGACCGAAAAAGGAGTACTGCAATATAAACATAGAAAAGGAAGAAGCACAAATTGCTGAAGAAGATACAAATCCGACATTAGAAGAAGCATTAAATGGAAGTTACTCTGAAGAATGGCATAAGGCTATGCAAAGTGAATATGAAGCACTTGTTAAAAATGGTGCATGGAAATTAGTAAAGCGACCACAGAACAAAAAGGTAATAGGATGTTGCTGGGTTCTTAGATCGAAATATAATGCAGATGAAACAGTTCAAAAGAGAAAAGTTTGATTGGTTGCTAGAGGATTTGCACAGGAACCTGGAATTGATTTCAATGAAACCTTTGCTCCAGTAGCCAGAGCAAGCTCTATAAGAACTGTGATTGCATACAGTGTTGAACAAGACCTTATGTTATACCAACTAAATTTTGCTATGGCTTATGTTAATGGAGATTTACAAGAAGAAATTTTCATGGAACAAGCTAAAGGTTTTGAAGACCAAAATAATCCTGATTATGTTTATGCTTTGCAAAAGTCTCTTTATAGTTTGAAACAAAGTGGATGACAGTGGTATGAAAAATTAGACAAAAAAAACTCAAAAACTTTGGATTACAATCATTACAATCAGATAAGTGCGTATACAGGACGAGAACATCTCAAGGTGAGTTAATTCTAATTTTATATGTGGATGACTTAATAATAGCAACAAATAGCTGTGATTTATATGCTGAACTTCAAGATTATCTTTCTAAAGAACTTCATATTAAAGATTTAGGAAAACTTCATTATTGTCTTGGAATAGATTTAATCAAGATGTTAATAATAATTCTATTAGTTTATCTCAGCAGAAATATGTTGATAATATTCTACGAAGGTTTAATATGCAAGAAGCAAAACCAGTAGCAACTCCTTTAGATACTAGTGTTAAAATTAAGTAAAGAAATGTATCCTTCTGAAACTGAAAAGGAAGAAATGCACAATGTACCTTATCGCTGTCTAATTGGTTCGCTTATGTATCTTTCTGTGTTTACTAGGCCGGATATTACATATGCCGTCAGTCACCTGAGCCAATTTAATAACAATCCTGGAAAATTACACTGGTTGCATTATCAAATACTGAAGCAGAGTACATCAGTCTTTCAGAAAGTGCTAAAGCAGCAGTTTATTTACGTCATTTTCTTAAAGAATTAAATTTCACTGCTGATTATCCAACCATTATATATTGTGATAATCATGGTGCACAGAAGCTTATAAAAAATGCTGTTTATCACTCACACACTAAACACACAGATATTAGACATCATTTCATTCATTAAATTTATGAAAGAAATTAAATAGACGTTAAATATGTGCCAACAGAGAAAATGCCTGCTGATGTACTAACAAAAACATTGACTGCTTCGAAACTCTCTAAGTGCTGTAAATTAATTGGAATAACTGTAAATGATTAATGTTTATTTTTTTTTCAGCCGCCAAACGTCAAAAGGGGGATTGTTGTATCATAAATTATAATATGATGTTTAGCTTAAGAGCGCTTCTCCTGATGCATGCACTGTTCGCGTTTATCCGCGTGGTATTGACGTAACCGCTTATTACGTATGTATGTTTATATGTATACCTTTCTTACTTTTTCGCCTTTTCTCTGCTGTATGCAACTATGTTTAAGTTAATTAAATTTAATTAAAGTTAATTTAATTGTCATTAAAAATGTTCATTGATGTTACAATCTGTTTAGCCCCATTTATTTCTTCATTAAATATCATGTTCTTTGCATTTAACCATAAAATTCAGTTGAACAGCAATATCCTAAAATAATTTTAAAATGAGCATATCTTTAGAATTTCTGATATATAGTTTCATGTATTGGAGATAAAAATGCCCCCCGTACAGTGTTGCAATTGCTTGCTTTGAAATTGTTCAGCCTGTTAATCAAAAATTCGTTAAAGTTTTACAAAATAGATAATAAAACAAATTCCAAATTTGGAAGCCCATATTCGGGTGGAAACATATGTTAATTAAAATTTGATGGCTCTAGGTACCATCGTTTTACCACGATGCAAGAAACACACATAAATTTATGCAGATTCTTCATTATTTAATTTCTTTAAATGTAACACAATGCTGTAATATTTGGTGGCAACAGTTTGAAAAGTGATCTGACATTTAAAGTTTTCAATGCAAAGTGCCAAAATGAAATTAATGATCCCGTCTGGGTTAATGCCCTTTGTGCTAAAAACAAGTTGGTTTAAACATGAAATCAATAAGATAAGATTTTAACAAACGATAATATCCATGAAAAGTACCTTTACAAAATGAAGTCGGTTAATGTCAAAAAATGGAAAATATATACAATAAGCCTCTGCAAATGCAGATTTGAATAATACAATGAGTATATGTGTTACCTCAATTTTTCTCAATTTAATTTGTCCAATCAACAGTTTCAGTTACACACGAAGTGCTGAAGACCATCAGCCATGTTTTGATAGTCCTCTTAAATGACTGGTTTGAAAATTCATTCATTAAAGAAGTCAAAAATTGCTTAAAAGAACAAAACCTGAGCTTTTAAGTTCTCCTGATTCTCAATAACGTAGCAGGGTGCACAGCTGAAGGCTTCACAACAATGCATCCAAATGTAGAGGTTTTATCCCTTCCACCCAACCAATGGATCAAGGAATAAAAAACATTCACAGCTTATTATGTCAGGCACATTTACATCTCTCTAAATAAAGAACTAGATAAATCAAAGCGTGACACACTAATGATATTCTGCAAGCAATTCAAAACACTGCATAGAAATTATTGAACTTGCATTGGAACAAGTGAATGCTTGCTGGCATCATCAACAATTTTCCAGAATTTCCATCAATTTGTGAAGCAAAGAAAATCATACAAATTGCAAAAGCAATAGGAGGCAAAAGATGTTTGGATCTGGAAAAAGGAGAATCAAAGAATTAGCAGAAAATGACAATTGGAATATCACAAATGAAGAACTGGATGATCTTATAACACTAGCAGATTGTAAAAGCAGCAAGAGTGAAGAAGATGAAGAGCCTTTAGCATTTAAGATGTTAAATGGATTGTTAAAAAAGGCCAGGGAACTGTTTCATTTTGTAAGGGAGATTGACCCAAGTGAAGAAGAAGATACTACTTTACAAAAAGTATTGAAAAACTTTGCACTCCTTACTGTGAAACATTTAATGATTGCATCAGACACTGTCCCATGCAAAAAACACACATGCAAAAAAAATATTTGCATCTACTTATTAAATGGTAATAGAAACCTTTTTAATAAACATCTGTTTCCGGTTTGTGTAAATTATACATATTTTTTTAATCTAAAATATACCTAACCCATTTTTTAATAAAAAGTTAACTTCATGGAAAGTGATTTTACCATATATGCAATATGTGAATGATGCAACTTCCACATTCAGAAAGGGTTTACTGTAATTCACAGATGAATATACATAAATAGACGATGTACCTGCTTTCTTTTTCTCCACTTTTTAATCTGAATTTATACTCTTTTTTCAATTTGAATGTTTAAAATTCTTTTACTAAAAAGGATATGCAAGATAAGTTCGAAGTTTCACTAAACTTTAAAAAAAAATCTGAAAGCTTTCAGATTTTACATTATGCTCAAAGCGACCTTTTTTAACATTTTGTGTGTTACCTTTATTTATTAAATATCATGTTCTTTGCACTTAAACCATATTTCAATTTAACAGCAATATCGCAAAATAAATTTAAAATGAACAAAACTTCAGAATTTCTGATACACAGTCTCTCGTGGAGATAATTTACTCCCCCCGTACAGTGTGGCCATTGTTCGCTTTGAAATCATAGTGTTTGTTCATCAAAAATTCATTAAAGTGTAGCAAAATAAGAAATCAATAATAAAACAAATTACAAATTCCAAATCTGGGCTTCCAAATGACTATATTCAGTAGATTATGTTATTCAAAATTTGTTGTCTCTAGATACCATTGTTTTATCCCAGTGCGAGAAACATGCATACATTTATGGAGATTTTTCATTATTTAATTTCTTTAAATATAAAGCAGGGCAATAATATTTGGTGGCAACAATTTGAAAAGTACACCAACATTTACAGTAAATCAACACAAAATGCTAAAACGAAATAGTCCTTCAGGGCAAATTGCCCCTTTAGACTAAAAAATCCTGCAAAATTAATCTAGCTTGCTAGGTGTATGTAATTTGTTGCATCGAAAAGATCACGTTCTCAGTTTATTATTCATTATTCATTTTTGAAACAACAGATAGTATTGCAAGCTTCCGTGACCGCCACAGATGAAGTACTGCAGTCAACTTAGAATAGCTATGAATAGATAAACAGAGATAGAGCTAATGAAATAGAATGCAAGCTAAATGCTTTTTATACAGCCATTTTGATGCAGATTGATGACCTATGGGAAAATTCCGAGTTTCTTACAAACTGCATATGAAAAAGTTCACTTCTAACCAGCTTAGTTAACTTTTTACAACTTTTCTCAGTTGGCGAAAAATTTCAAACATCCCTACACAAAAATCACATTACCTATTAATGAAAAGTCTTCAAGGATTCAAATTTAAAATAAGATTTTAAAGACTCAACAGCAGATGATAATAAGATATTTTTAGGAGAGGAAAAAAACAGTTTAAGAGCTAAAAATATCCCTTAACATTGTATGCTTCCTAATGACAGAAAAGTAAACTTATCTAAATAAGGTATATTTTTATGACCTTCATATCATCTTAACCCCATAAAACTGCATCTAGGGCAAGTAAAAGGATCCATATGTTGACAGGTCATTCATTTTTCATTCAAATTTAGTTACTTTTTTTTTTTTTTTTTTTTTTTTGTGTGTGTGTGTGTGTGTGTGTGTGTGTGTGTGTGTGTGTGTGTGTGTGTGTTCTAGTAAAGTAAACACTAAACAAACTTTTTTATATCTTTGTCATCGTACATTTTTCATTGAAGCATTACTCTTTAGATTATTAAAATGAATTGATATATAGTTGGCACCATAGAAGATGCAGATGAATAGTCTGAGGAAATTAATGTTAACTTTGCTATATCACCTCTAACTATAGAAGTGACAGAGAAGATGAAAGAGATAAAATGACAAATTAAAAGATAGAAGTATAAAAGACTTTACTAAAAATGTTAAGATAATCAATACAAAAAATTAATGTAACAATAACCAACTTTCAAATTCATAAAAAAAAAGGTTAAATACTGAAAACAAGAAGTTGAGTCAATGAGACATCGATAGCTGAATGTTGTAGTTGTCAATAAAATGATTTGTTGAAATAATACATAAGAAGAAAAAAAAGCAACATTGATTTCGATTGCAAATGATTTTTTGACTTGATAAAAATTTGAATACATATGAATAATATATTCACATTTTATTATGTAGCATTCTCTTCTTTAAATTTAACTGGTGAAATACTGAATCATTTGGGGTTTAAAAAAATTAGGGTTTTAATGCCCAGTGTCCTACATAAAGGGCTTTTCCCCTCAACTCTAATAATAATTTTGATGCAATTTGAATTGATTATTACTGCTGGTAAGAAAATAATCAATTTCATGTTGTTCAGCTTATTGTCTGTTGAACTAATCTGAGTATACATGAGTTTATAGGTTCGCTAAATAATTCAACTTATCACTACATGTTGAAAACAAAAGAATCTGAACGGGAAAACAGTAAAAATACTTTTTCTTCTTGAATATACAGAAAGCTTTAGAAACAAAATAAGAAAACTGAAAAGATTTTCAATACTTAGTACCACTGAATAACTTTTGTTATAAATGTATTATTAAAAAAACTGAATTAAAATATTTGAAATCCCACAATAACTAGATAGTATGGCAAAGCTTATGCTACTTTATCTGAATTACTTACAAAATTTGTCAAAGTGCATGAGGGTTATTTATCCTGATGAGAAGGATACCTTTGTGTAGAATTTTCTATGGAAAACTGATTTGTATTCATATCATATATCAAAGAAACCATGAAAAGCCAACCATGCACTTAGTCTCTTCACCTGAGACTGAATTCCCACTATTCAGTAGTCTTAACCACTCAGCCACATGTGGTATGATAAATAAAATTTCCAGCTGGTATGTTTTAATAAAGTCTCTCTCTTATTATGGACATTCTTGCAATGTAAGAGAGTAGCAAATTTTAGTTTTCTTCAGTTTATATATTGTTGTTATAAATAAATATTGGTTATACATTATTGTCTATGTTGTAGAGTTAAGTTGATAATGTTGATTGCTAGACTGTCTAATTGATTAGCCATACATGAATGAAGTTATGATAAATAAAAATAACAGCGTTAAAGTAATAACAGATATTTAGAAAAGTCAGCACAATATTCTGATAACAGAATATAATTGATTAAAAGAATAATAGGTGCTATTGTTATGTTGATATTATTACAATTAGTATTAAGAGTGTAACTGAAACATCAAATTAAAAGAAAATTTTAGGATCACCTTCTTTGCCATTTCTTCCATTTCAGGACCTTTGTTGTTAATTAGTACATAATCTAATGCTTGAGGACCAATAGCTGCCTAAAATTTTGGAAAAAAAAAAGTACTGAAATTAAAAAACTACATTAATTACATAACTTCATATAACTTTAAAAACCAAGCTACATATAAATGGTACAAACTTTAAATTATACCAAAGAAAATTTTTAGTAGAAAGTTACTACATATTTAGAAGACAAAATATGGTTCTATATATTTTCAGAGGAAATTATGTATTGTTATTAACAAAATTTCTTTTTGCAATTACTTCATAAATTTAGTATACTTTTTGCAAGGGTTGTTTTTTTTTAAACAAAGTCCAATTTTTATTAAGAAAAACATAGTAATTATCATTAAAATATATCCCCCCCCTTATTCTACATAGTTTCATTACAAAACTTTCACTTTTCCAATTTAATTTCCATCTATCCATACCATTCAACAAGTTTCTGAATTCCGATGTCAGAGAAATGTAAAGAAGCCCAATCCATGACTGCAGTTTTCATTCCATTGTTGTTGAAATGTTAACTAGCAAGGAACTCCTTTAAGTACTGAAATATGTGAAAATCACTGGATGCAAAGGCTGGACTGTAAAGTGGATGATCCAGTTGTTCCCATCCAAAAGACCTGATTAGACCCTGGCTTTGTGCAGAGAATGAGGCCTTGCATTTTCATGGAGTAACACCACACTGGAAGATAGTAGGCCATGCTGCTTGTTTTGAATAGCAGGCTGGAGTTTTCTCAGGCTCACACAACACACATCAGAATTGATTGTCATGTCTCTCGGCATAAAATCCAATAATAAAAATCTCTTTATTGTTCCAAAAGGCATTACCATGATCTTTCATGCTGAAACTGTATGCCTGGCTTTCACTTTGGTTGCCAGTGATGCGTTTCGCCATTCCACTGACTGTTACTTGGACTCATGAGTTATTGTGGATTGTGAGACAGCAAAGTTTCATTTCCTGTAATAATGTAGTCAAACATTCACCTCCATCCTGCTTGTAATGAGTCAGAAATGATACAGTACAGCCCAATCTTTTTGTTTTGTGGTCATCAGAAAGCAGTCTTGGAACCCATTGATAATCTAATTTTTGATAATTAAATTTGTCCGAAACAAAGGTATTCAAGGCCGGTTTTTTAACTGACCTTGAATTCTAAGGAAAATCAACTGATAATATTGAAATTATGAATTGTCAGTTTTGTTTTCCACATCAAGGGCCAAATCTTCGGAAAGCAGAGAAGGTTGGTCAGGACATGGCCCATCAGGCACATTAACCTGCCTGCCCTTGAGCATTCTGATCCACTTTTGAACTTTACTGTCACTCATAGCATTATCACCATAAATTCCACAAGTCTGATGGTGAATTTCCATGGCTGTCAAGTTTCTTGAATTCAAGAATTGAATTACAGATCATATTTCAGTCGGCAAGCAACTCAATTTTTTTAAACATTATGAACTTCTACATCTCAGCAAACAGAGAGATGATATGGCTACAAATGGCACCTAAATACATGCAAAGCAGGCTTGGCAGCAGATGTGCATACACACTGTGGTGATAGAGCATTATTTTCCCTTTCATTTACGAATGGACTTCACTTAAAAAGTAACCTAAGCAGACTTACAAAAATACAAATGCAAATCTAATTATTTTGGCCCTAAAGAAATAAAACACAGAACTTAGAATATGCATTTAAAAATATTTTGCATTACAGACTTAAGTGTAAAATAGTTACATAATAAACTCTCAGATTGGCATGGTGTTTTGGATCTGCTCACAAAGAACAGTTACAAGGCATTTTTTCCCTGCTTTCTGCATGCTTCCGTGGTGTAACTGAGAAGATAACATGTAAACTATTACTGTTTTGATTTAAAAAAAAAAAAAATCAGAGTATGGCTATTTTGTACATGACTTTTCATTGAGATATAATATACATTCAGAAGAAGAATCTACTTTGTAAATTTAGATGACTTTTTTGAAGCTGCATTACATAAAAAACTAGTGATAAGCCATGAAATTGCAAACTGCTGCAAAAGTGCACTATAAGAACAATTCTGAAATTTGTATATTGTTCATGATTTTTCATTACCATATAATATATATTCAGAAGAAGAATCCACTTTGTAAATTTAGATGACATTTTTCATTGTGCAACTAAGGATAAGCCATGAAATTTCAAACTACTGCACAAGCATATTACACTATGAGAACAATTTACAAATTTAATTAAGTTTTTGAAATTCTTATGTTTGAAACTTTGTTGGCTCTGAATAACAACAAGCATATCATTTTGCTGTGACTTGTAACTTTAATTTGTTTTTTACACATTAAGATTAATGCAATAAAGTAATATCCAGAATTTAATAATTTTTTTAATTTCTGAGAGAAAGTAAAATAGAATTGCACTAAACAATTTACAGTTGATGTAACTGTTCGCGCCTTATGTAAATTTTGATTTTGTTCCCTGCAAGAGGGCGCCTGCGAGCGCCGAACTACTTGTATATCTATTGTACGAACTTGTTCTTCACACAGTCTAATAAACGCAGTAACGAACGTTTGAGTCTACTTTCCATCCGCTAACATGGTCCGTCGTGAGCCAGCGCATTTCTTTGGATGATGTGTCAAGACAATTTTTAACGTTCTGGTATAGAAGGACATTTCGTGCAGGAAAACGGATTTATATTTTGTCTGGATTGTGAAAACAGCGGCAGGAATATGGAGTCGATTTTAAAGCAAAGCGAATCATTAACGGTAAGTTGACTCGTTTAATTTCACAAATAAATAGTTTACAAAATCAAGAAAATTCTTTTTCTGCCATTGAAGTGTACGAAAATGATGTTAGTGCATTAAGGTGTTGAAGTGAACTGTTTAAACGATAACATTCTTGGTACTTGTTCTGACGCAGAGTTTAGTAAATATGAAATAGAAATGAATGAACTATTTTCCAAATTAGATGTATTAAAAATTACTTTAAAGGAAGAATCAAGAAAACTTAGTAATTCAGGCAAAGATATAATAAATGCTAATGCAAACGGCTTGAAATTTCCTCGCGTGGAATTGCCAGTGTTTACTTCTAATTATGTTGATTGGATATCATTCAGGGATTTATTTCTTGCCAGTGTTAGAAATAATAGTACATTAAGTGACAGTCAAAAATTGCAATATCTTAAGCTTTCTGTGAAAGGTGAAGCTGCTGTTTTACTACAGTCAGTTCAAATTTCAAACGCGAATTATGAAAAGGCATGGGAAGCGCTTACTGAACGTTATGAAAACGAAATAGAAATAATAAACGCAGCATTAAATAAATTAACTTCACAACCTGTTCTAAAACATGAATCAGCTTCAGGTTTGCGGAGATTAATTGATACAACACAACAGTGTATTGATACATTAAAAATCCTTAAACAGCCGGTAGAGCATTGGGATACCATGATTATTTTTCTGTTAAAAGGGAAACTTGATCATGAAACACTAAAAGAGTGGACGATGGAGCATTCGAACAAGAAAATTTCTGCTTTCGCTGAATTCAAGCGTTTTATTTTAAACAGAGCGAATGCTATTGCCTCTTTGGCGAAGTGCCAGAGGGAGAAGTCAATTTTGCCTTCTGAAATTAAAACTCGCGGTTCAGGTAGCAGATATGCTTTTTCGTCCCAACTTGTGGCTAATGTGTGCGTTCATTGTAAGAGTAATTCTCATTCTCAGTTATTTAAATGTGATAGTTTTTTAGAACTCCCTATCAAAGAAAAATGGGATATTATTAAAAGGAATGAATTATGTGCTAATTGTTTGAAAGATAGTAAAACGCATCCCATTTTTAAATGTCGTGCAGGAATGTGTAAATATTGTTCAAAGCCGCATAATAATACAGTGTTATGTTCGAAAAATTCAAATGATGAAAAATGTCATATACCCATGGAACACGGAACTTCTGCTATTAGTAGCAATAACGCCACGGTGCCTGTTGCGCAAGCAGTTTTATTGCCTACTGCGGTTGTTTATGTTTAAAGATATTAATGGCGATTTACAAAAATGCAGGATGCTAATTGATTCAGGTAGCCAGGGCTCATTTATTCGAGAGCACTGTGTAAATTTACTGCAGCTAAAGTGCACTAGTGCAAACATAAGTGTAAATGGCCTGAGCTCGCAAAAAAATGGAAAGGTTTCAGGTTCAGTTCAATTACAAGTAACATCTCCATTTTATAAAAACGCAAGCATTTCAGTTAATGCATTAATTATACCCAAGATCACGTGTGACCTTCCTCAATATCAAGTTGATAGATCTGTTTTGACATCTTTCAAACATTTGTGGTTGGCAGATACAAATTGTTTCCAGCCTGGCCCAATAGATATTCTTTTGGGCGCAGATGTATTTGGCGAGATAATGCTTCATGGATGTTTAACTGTTCCAGGTCATTCGTTAACAGCCTTGGAATCAATATTCGGCTGGGTCATTATCGGAAAGACTAAAAGTGTATCACAGACAATTGTATCGAATCATGCTAGTTGTACCAATGTTCAGCTCCAGCTTGAAAAATTTTGGAAATTGGAAGAAATTTCGGAGATAAAGCATTACACAGAAAAGGAAACGAATGTGAAAATCATTTCAAGCGGAATTTTTCTCGTGATTCAACAGGTAGATTTGTTGTTAAGTTTCCATTTCGTAGATCGGGAAATGAACTTGGGTCATCAAGGGATGTTGCTGTACATCGTTTACAAAGCACTGAACGTCAATTTGTTAAGAATAAATCTCTTTCCAGTCAATATCACAAATTTATGGAGGACTATCAACAGCTTGGTCATATGGAATTGATTCCAGAAAATGAAATTGATGTTCCAGCTAATTCTAGTTTTTACCTTCCGCACCATTCAGTTCCGGATAAAAATAGTGATAAATTTCGAGTCGTATTTGATGGTTCTGCAAAATCTTCTAGCGGTATTTCTCTTAATGACAAATTGATGGTTGGTCCACAGTTGCAGACTGATCTGACAACATTAATTATTCGTTTCAGAATTCACAGAATAGCTATAACTGCAGATATAGAGAAAATGTACAGACAAATTATATTAAAAGATGCAGACTTTCAGAGAATAGTCTGGCGTGATTCACTTTATAAACCAATTCAGGATTTTCGATTAACTAGGATTGCTTACGGTACTGCATCAGCTCCGTACCTTGCGGTAAGATGTTTACAGCAGTTAGCCATAGATGAAGCAACTAATTTTCCTTTGTCACGTGCAGGATTTATTCTAAGAAAATGGGCTTCTAACAGCAAAGAAGTCTTGAATTCAATTAATCCAGATTTGTGCTTATCAAATGTTTCTTTGAACATAGACAATGATGATACTGTAAAAACGTTAGGTATCCTGTGGCATCCAGCTTCAGATATGTTTTTATTCAAAGTCAATTCATCATATCCTGAAGTCTTAACCAAACGAACATTACTTTCAATAATCGCAAAGACCTTTGACCCTCTTGGATGGTTGGCACCGATCACGGTTCGGTATAAATTGATTATGCAAAGATTGTGGAAACATCAGTTTCAGTGGGATGAAAAGGTTCCTCCAGATATTGAATGTGAGTGGAAACAACTTACAGAAGATTTGTTATTTATTAAAAGTATCAAAATTTCACGATTCTTGTTGGTTGAATCAGATAACCAGTTTCAACTGCACGGGTTTTGTGACGCCTCAGAGAAGGCCTACGCCGCTGCAATTTATTATCGTTCTGTGTTAGATACTGGACAAATTAATGTTCAGTTAGTAATAGCCAAACAAGAGTTGCACCACTAAAAACCATATCACTTCCCCGATTGGAACTTTGTGGAGCATTACTGTTGACTAAATTAATGGAATTTCACCTGTAGGGCTTTAAATACTCCTATATCGCAAGTTTATTTTCATACTGATTCCACTATTGTATTAGCCTGGATAAGATCTCATACAAGCCGATGGAAGACCTTCGTCGCTAACAGAGTAGCAAAAATCCAGACTTTATCCTCTCCTGTCCAGTGGCATCATGTGAGTGGAAATGCTAATCCTGCTGATCTTGCAACGCGTGGTGTGTCATCATCTGCACTGGTTACTTCATTGTGGTTATGTGGTCCAGATTTGTTGTATAATTTATTTCCTTTTCAGCAAGCATTATCTGCACCACTACTGAATGATTCTGTGCCAGAGCAAAGATGTGCTTTACAGTCTACAACTGCTGCCAGTCACTTGACAGATGCTCATGATTTATTTTATAAATATTCCTCTCTCACTAAACTTAAACGTGTTGTAGCATTATGTCTGAGGTTTGTAATAACTGTAAAAATTCAGAAGATCAGGTAAGTGGATTTCTAAAAACAAGTGAATTAACTAAAGCTATGCATGTGAATAAGGAAAACAGTTAAATCAAAATACTAGATACAAGTAACAAAGGCAATCATTAAATCAATTTATCTAGAACAAGCAAAAATTTATCTTTGAATCCATTTTTAGATAATTTAGGTATTCTCAGGGTGGGCGGTCGCTTGCGACATGCAAACCCTTGCATATGGTTTTAGGCATCCAATTTTGTTTCTTCCAAGAAGCACATTTTAACTCATCTCTCATTGTTAGACATTACCATGAAAGACTTTTGCATGCAGGTCCACAACTTATGCAATCTGCATTCAAGAACAATATTGGATCATAAATGGTAGAGCTGTGTATCAGAGATTTAGTTAGGAAATGTATAAGTGTTGCAAAATTAGAGCATCTGTCACTAATCAATTGATGAGCGATTTGCCGTCTAGTCGCGTTTCGCTCTCCTGCGTTTTTGCGCTGTGGAGTGGATTACGCAGGTCCTTTTCAATTAAAGCAAATAAGGGTCGAGGCTCTAAGTCATTCAAGGCATATATAGCTCTATTTGTTTGTTTTACGACAAGAGCTATTCACCTAGAATTGGGGTGACTGATCTTTCAGCAGATGCTTTTAATTGCAGCTCTTAAGAGGTTCATTTCCCGCAGAGGCAAAAGCAGTGATATATATAGCGACTGTGGTTCCAATTTTGTTGGAGCAAAATGCAAACTGATGGAATTTGAAGGCTTGCTAGGTCTGCAACTTATAACCAAAATGTTAGCAGATATTTGGTTATTGATAATGGCATTAATGGCATCTAACGTTCCAGGTGCGCCACATATTGGGTGGACTTGGGAAGCTGGCATAAAATCAACAAAATACCATTTAAAACGAGTAGTTGGTGAGGCGAGATGATTGACATATGAAGAATTTGAAACATTTCTCACACAAATAGAAGCTTGTCTTAATTCGCGACCTTTAACAAGTTGGTCTAATGATCCAAATGACTTGTCAGCATTAACGCCTGGTCATTTTCTTATTGGTAGATCATTAACAAGCATTCCTGAACCAAATTACATTGAAGTTTCCCATCTCACTTGGATGGCAACATATTAAAAAAAAATGGTTCGGCAGTTTTGGAAGCGTTGGCACAAAGAATCTTGTGTCGATTACAACAAAGACCAAATGGCTTTTGCCAACTAAAATCTTCAAGTTAATGATCTGTGTCTCATAAAGGAGGATAACTTGCCTCCAACTGGATGGAGAATGGGTGGGAATTACTCAGTTACTACATCCTGGTCTTGATAATATTGTTAGGGTTGTGACTATTAAGACTTCAGATGGCATGGTTAAAAGAAATATTACAAAATTGTGTCCATTCCAATTTGAGTTTTAATTCATGTGTATTATAAATTAAGTATTTATATCATAATTTTAATATTGTATTGTGTTTTAAATTTACTGAATTTTAACCCACTAAATGTTGAAAAGTATTTCAAGGTGGGCGGCATGTTCGCGCCTTATGTTTGTATTTAAATTTGATTTGTTCCCTGCAAGAGGGCGCCTGCGAGCGCCGCCGACTACTTGTATATCTATTGTACGAACTTGTTCTTCACACAGTCTAATAAACGCGCAGTAACGAACGTTTGAGTCTACTTTCCATCCGCTAACAGTAACAGTTTATTTTGTTAAATGGAGTATGGAGTGTAATTTAAAGATAATAGTTTACAAAAATGATTTAATATTGATAATGTGTGTTATTTTTGGGATGCTAGAATCATCTTCTATTGAGTGTATAACTATGGATAACTTATGTTTTTAAAAGACTTAGCTTCATTGAATGTGCTTTTATTCTGAAAGTTCATGAAACAAAGAGATTTTTCAGATGAAAGCAACAGTTTTTAATACACGTTTTTCATGGCAGAGAACAATGCAAAATTTCTGAAAAAATACTTAAATTTTTTTAATTACTTATATTTTATATGAATATATTTTTTGTAATGTCTCAAAATAATGTTTCTGCCACATCAAGAAAACATGAATCTCGATTAGGTAAACTTCGTTACTTTATGTAGATTTTCAAGTTCTTTATTCATTATGAAACTTGTAATCCTGAAGGTTACTGCACATTTGTAGCCCTCAAGATAAATAATTTAAACAACAATTTGCTCATTCAAAAGTGTTAGTTACATATATTCTGCTATGCTCAGCATATTAGTTAGCACTGATTTGCTTTGAAGAGAAATATACTTTATTTAAATGACATTTATACAGCAATGCTAATTATGCCCTAAACTAAAAATATTCTTATAATTAATCACAAAATACTTATTTACCTGCACAGTTGCTTTTGGTAGCCAAGCAAATGCAACAAAAAATTTCTCTTTGATATTCAAATCAGCACCAAAAGTTACGAGAGCAGCAGTTGCAATGCGAAAAAGTAGACCAATACACAAAGCCAAAATACCATAACCTACCAAAAAAGGGGAACAATTTCAGTCTAAACAAATACAAAATGAAGAAGATTACCTAAGATCAAAAAGAAAAGGTGTTTCAAAAGCACTTACATATTATCACAACCATCTAAGCTATTATCACAATTAACCTACAATTTTTTTAAATACGTTCTTTTTCTTGTAGTTCAAGTTCCAGTGGTTTTTATAGACAAATTGTGATATTTTTGTCATAATTTAACATATGTACTTACGAAATCTGCCAGGAATGAAAGAAAGTAGGATAAGATTTTTGCAGGAATACAGAATTTTGCCACAAAATCAGTAAAGAGAATAACCGTAAGATGTGTTTGTACATAGCCAATGCTGCTGAAGTTTCTGCAATTCCTTGATTTTTTAAGCAATACATATTACTGTTTATGTGGAGAGAAAAATAGTGCAAAAAATTAACTTAAAGGAATTTTGGTGAGGAATGTAAATTATTAGATATCAGAAGTTCAATCAATAGAAATCAGCCCTAATTTTTAGAAACTGCAGTTCTAGTTTCAAGTTGCAGTTCTGGTTCTAGTTGCATGAGTGGAAATGACAAAAACTTGTGCAAAAGAGAAAAAAAATATAAAAAATTCTGATATTCGCTAGCATGCTCACTAAATCCAAAAATTTAGATTGTTTCTAATTAAATTTAATATTAAACATCATGTATAAATCATTACATTTTCAAATAAATATGTACGGTAGAACATTAAGGTAAACAACTGCCTGCTCCTCTCTGATTTGACCATAAACCAAACTAAATCCTAGTTTCCAACTTGTCCTGTCCAATATGATATGCATGCTGAAATGATGGAAAAGATAGGATTTGGATTTGTCCAGTCTCAAAAAAAAAAAAAAAAAAAAAAAAAAAAAAAAAAAAAAACTGCCTGAGTAACTGATAAGACATGCCAATTTCAAGTAGTTAAAAAAAACCATCAATAAAAAAATTACAAGAGCTTTCTTTAAAAATATTATTATAAAAAAAAAGAAACAAAAAAAAAACAGATACAGAAAGAAAAGAATGGATTGCTTTCAATAAAAAATTAACAGACTCTTGGACTGAAAAAGCTCATGCATGAAAGAATTGCTGATCGTAGGAAATATTCATCTAGATAAAACTATAAAATGTTACGCATCTTCACAAAGAGAAATTCACTGTTAGATTAATTTTTTTTGGCATCAGAACAATATACTTTTTATGAAAGTGAATCCTACGTATAGTGAGAATGTTAAAACAGACCAACTGCAAAAATTGACATCTTCAATAAATAATTGCAATTTTAAGGACAAAATAATTTTGATCAAGCAACTATTTCTCATCATTCATTATAAATTAAAGCATTAACATTCAAAGATTCTGATACACAGAGTAATGAAAAATAAAATTTTAAAAAATGCTAAAGCTATGCATCAAAGCTTTAAGAAAAAGGAATCTCTGCTAATTAAGGATTGCTGAAAACGTTTTGCACCATTTGTGCACTGTGCCTTGAAAGGTTACAATAATGAGGCTATATTTCTTTCCAGCTGCTTTTTATCAAAAAATGGCAACCTCTTCCTCCTCATGATACACTGCTTGCATGCTGTGTTAGCTGTATTAATGTTTTCAATGAAGCCCTGAAATGGATGATTTGAACAAACATGCACAACATGTTAGGCTGCATTTCTTTTTAACAAAACTGCTGACATATTAAAACAAGTTTGCACCATTTACAAATATAATGGTACTATATAATGAGCAGTAAATTGCTGGTTCCAAAAGTTTAGAAAACAAAATCTGACCCTGAAAAATCAAGTGAGGTCTGAATGAACAATCTCCAGCAAATGACAAAGAAATTAAAAGTTTCATTGATCAGAACCCTCGAAGCACTGTTCAAAAGGTTGCAAAGACCCTTACCTTCCCCACAAACATCAATTTTATGCTTGGAGCAAACAGACTACAAAAGTAATCACAAAGTTGCAAGCATCATATCAGCTAACTGAGTGCAATAAATTTGACAAGATCTGTGTATGATCAGCTGCTGCGCAGCCAGTAAAATGAATCATTTCCCAGAAGACTTGTTACAAATAATGAATTCTGGATTCTATATGAGAGCACAGTGTGAAGGTGGACTCGGGAAACTGCACAAAGCAGCTCACAGAGAGCAACAAAGCCTCCATCCAAAAAACGTTTTAATGTCTTGTGGGATTATAAAGGACTTCTCCTTTCAAACTACTTCTTTACAATCAGACAATAAATTCCACTACATACTATTGTTAGCTAGAAGAACTGAAGACAATTTTCAATTCAATATGTCTTCAAACTGCAAATCGTAAAGTTGTTGTCTTTGATCATAACAATGCCAGGCCTCAAGTTTCATTGGAGGTGAGGAAAAAGTTCAGGAGTTTCAGTGGAATGTCTCCCACACTCATATTTTCTGGACCTCACAATGTGTGATAACTACTAGTTAATGGTCCTTAAAAAACTCTCAGTGTGAGAAAAAAATTCTATTATCTTGAGGAGGTGACAGTTCAGACATCAAGCCACCATCCTACTTTTATCAAAGCATTACGAAGCTCCAAGAACATTGGAGAAGAATAGAATAGGATGGAAATTACATAATGGAATAACTAAAACAAGCTTTAAAATTTTGCAGAAATTTTTACTTGTTGTGACCTTTGTTGTGATTCGTTTATTTGCTGTGAGCTTTTTGGACAACCCAATAATAAAGAATTCTATACAAGACAACCTAATAATAAACATTTCTATACAATCGAGATCCTTCTAAAATGTAAATGTAAATGCAAATAAAAATTTTTAAATGGAATATTGCGCAAATCAAAACTTGCATACATTACAGGCAATAGTTATACAGATTGGATTGGAGATTTGAATCCAAAATTTAAAAATTTAATTTATAAAGAAGAGTTTTTAACTTCAGTACAATAACTTTATAATGACCACCTTTGATACCATTTATCAATTCAAGAGTAAACACAGATGAAATGATTAAAAAAATTACTTTGGCAAAAATATTAAGATATGTGACAGAGACAGGAAAAGAATGGTAGAGAAATATTTTTAAAAAAATTGCATTAATTGCAGATTTCCCACAGGCAAATGTACTAATGAAAAAATTATAGTCCAGATAGAAAAGGAATTAATACAGCTATGTCAAGAATTCTTTCCTGAATCATAGATGCTGCTTATTTACACTTTACAATAGTAATGTGCACAAAATTAAAATTCAAAATCGAAGGAAATCACTAAACATATACAAACATACATATATATGTGCGTGTATGAAATTTCCTTCCATAAGCATTAGGTTAGCTGTCTTAAGGCAGCATTTTCTTTTATTTCTTCTTTGTCTCTACGTGTACCTGACTCTGCTTGAGACCCTCGGTTTCACTAAAAATTTGTTGAATGCGATCTGTTGTTGTCTATATTTTATTTTAAAATGTATCTAAAGAGCTATGGCATTGTCACTGAAAATGCTTTTGCTGTAGCTTGCTGCTGCTTTATCATGGTGATAAAATTACCGAAAAAATTAAAGAATTTTACTCCATTTTGCACAAATTTAAGGGATTAGAGAATTAGGGTAATTTTTCTCTTCTTCTAATGGCATTTCTTCCATACTCACTATTTATTCCTGCTTCTGAACTCACTGAAGGTGTCTCTTTTCTTAAGCTCATTTTTACGATTCTCTACGAACTTCTCCACATCTTTATTGCTAATTTCCTAGCCCATGATTTTGAATAGAGAACCTTATGATAAGTAACCCCAAAGAAGTCTTAAGTGTCAAAGAGCTCAAAGTCTGCCTGCAACCCAGTCTGGTTATAACTTTCCCCCACCAAAGTTATGGTTCTGTAAGTCACTTGCTAGTATTAAGCAAATAAA